TTTCTTATACTTTTTATAGTAGGGCTATAGGAATATTACCTCCTTAATTTACTTTTTACTGTACTCTGGTTTTCCTATTAGTAATTAAGTACGTCCTAGGATATAAGTAGTTACCTTCCTTCTAATTAATATTTGGGTTGTATATTATATACTATAGGTACCTTAGGATTATATTCTTAAATAACTCTATTTTAACGACGTTAAAATTAATTTTAATCATTTTGCCTTTTATTATAATAGGTAGTAGTAACATTTCCCGTCTTACGATTTATATTTCGAAGGGTTCTTTTACTATAAAAGGAACCTTTTTCTTTTTCTAAGGAATCCTAAATTAAGTAACGAACTTTAGTAAAATAAAATTTAATTAAACTCTAGAATCTATTAATATAAAAGTTTAGTAATTCTTTTAATAAATTATAACTTTTAATTACTAATCCTCTTTCCCTTCTTCTATAATAGTAACTTCTATAGGTATTATAGGGTTTCGGATTTTATTATTCTAATAATTATATTATCGGGTAATTTATTTCATTTAGGATTTAATTTTCGTTAGGCCTCTTTAAAGGCCCTAAGCCATTTCCTAATTCCTAGCGATAATTATTAAGAGTATCCCCTTCATTAGATTTAAATTCGTTTAACGAATTGTATTCCTATAACTATACTATATAAGTAGCTTTTTCTTTGTCCTTACGCTCAATTATCCTAGTACTATAGAGGTAATTATTAAATTCCTTTTTAATATCCTAGGCTTTCTACCTTATATAAATAGGGTAATCGGATATCGGGTACTATTACTATTAATAATTTACTTTTTCCTATTTTATATAAATATAAATATAATAAGGGCGTATAATAAATCTCCTAAGTAATAATTATTTATTTATCTATACGAAGGGATATAAATTAAATATAAACTATTTATTTATAATAAAGGCGGTTTATAAATTACTTCGGCTAAAAGTACGTATAACTAGCCTAAATTGCTCTTACCAATATAATTTTCTAGTAGGCTAAAAATAATTATTATACTTCTTCCTATAGTATTCGTAATAGTTATTAATAATATATTAGAACTATAATATTTAGTAATAAATATAGTAAAAGGGGTATATCTATACTATATTTCCTATAACCGGCTAATATATTTTAATTAGTTCCGGGGTTTACTCCTAAATAACTTATAGCTTTCCTTTAATAACAATTATTCGTTTCCTTTAGAAATCTTCCTATAATTCGTTCTTCCCGCTTTTATTCAAATAAAATTATAGCAGCTCCGTCTAGTATTTTTTAATAAAATAGTTAGAGTAGCCGTACTAGTACGAATTAACGAATTCGAACGTATTAGATTTTTCAATTATAAATACTAAGGGCGGAATCGGAGGTAGAATAGTATTTATTATTTATATAACCGTAAGGAGAATCCGGTCGGTATTAAAGAGGCTACCAATTTCTTCCTAAATCGGAGTTTAGTACTATTATATTTAAAATATATTTCATACCTCCTCCTTAATAAGATTTTCCTTATTAAGTCCTTCTTATTAATATTTATTATTGGCCTCCTATTAATCTTCTAAATTGTAATCCTTAATCTTATTTATAATATCTTCTAAATCGTTTTAACTATATTCGGCGCTAGCGATTTCAATTATTCTAACTCCTTCTACTATAGCGGTTTCCGCTTTCTTTTAATTTAACTATTTAAATATATAATAATTTTTCTCTATATACCTAGTCTTATTATAATTAAAGTACTTAACCTTCGAAAAGTCCCGTTTACTTTAATTAATTTAAGCCGTATTAATTTCTATAGGTCTAGTATAAATAGTTTTGGAAAAGTAGGTTCCCTATATCCTTTTCTTCTTAATATTAGTATTAAATTTAAAAGGAACGAAGGTAATTACTTTTCTTTTCTTCTCCTACTCCCACTAGAATAGTCGATCGTTAATACGGATAATTTTTATTAATATAAATATTAATAGTTTCGGGACGGTTTTCCTTATAGAATTCGTTTTTAATTCTTTCCTTAAAACTATTATAGAATAATTATATTAATCTATCGTTATTAATATTACTATAGAGAATATCCTATTTAAAAAGCGTAATATAAGTTAAAGTAAATTTAATTTATTGAAAATAAATTAAACGTTCTTAAACCCAACGAATCTTATGCTTTTTTCCAAAAATTTGAATAAAGGCCTTAGTAAATTCATTATAGTTACCTAAAATCTTCCTAATAAAATCCGAAGCATCTTTTCTATTTTTATAGAAGTCTTTAAAGATAGGCTCGTATTAAGTAAAGGCCCAATCTATAAGTCTAATTCCTACGTAAGTTACTTTATCGAACTCAAAATTGAACCAATCTCTATAAAAGTAGAGATAAATATATATTTAAATTAAGAATCCCGTAAGGGTGGACTATTATCTATTAAACTCTTTAAATACGGCTAATTTAATTTTAGGACGGTTAGTAAGCGGAGTATCCTCTCCTACTTTTATTCCAAGGGCGCCGGATCCAACCTCGAATTAAATTTTAAATTAATAAATACAATCCTATATAACTTCGAACTACTAATATATAGTAGTAAGGTTCGTAAATTTACCTTAATAAGTAGGGTCATTATTATTTCTAGTAGTAATAAATATAGTAAAGCAAAGAAATACCTTTAATTACTAATTAAAATAGGCTAAAGGAAATAGTTAATATATAATAAATGGTAGTTTAATTTGCCTAAATAAGATAATTAAAAGTATGAAAACTATTAGTACTATTCAATAAAGCTAAAAGGTTTATAATAAATATATATACGTAATATTAGTCTCGGTAATAATAATTTATTAACTACTATCGAACTATTTAATAATCTAAGTTTTCTAGCCGTCCTTTTATACTTCTAGACTATATTTAGCTTTTTAATTATTAAGTGTCTATTTACAATAATATTCTTACTTACTATAAGTACCTACTTACCTGTAAATGCTTGCTTATTATAAGCGCTTGCTTACTAGTGAGTATTTATATATAGTGAGCCTGTATATAGTGAACCTACGCTTACTTATATGCCCTTCCTAGCTACTAAGAGTTATACTAGTCGTCCCTAGTGGGGCTGCCGGATCCCAAGGATCTGGGCGACCCTTGTATCGCTTAAGTTCGTAACAAGTAGTACTAGAGTAGTATCAGAATAGTACTAGAGTAGTACTAGAGTAGTACTAGAGTAGTACTAGAGTAGTACTAGAATAGTACTGAAGTAGTACTAGAGTAGTACTAATTAGTATTTTAGTAGTACTAATTAGTATTTTAATAATAGTAGTAGTAGCATTAATAGTAGAAATAGTATTAATAGTATAATATAAAAATATTCTAAAGATTTTAAACTTTTTTAAACTTTTATTCTTTATTATAAAATTTAAGACTTTTTAAGTTTCTATACTTTTATAATTTCAGAATTAGTACTCTAACCCTTACTAAAAGTCTCTTAACCTCGAATATACAAAAGTATTATAAAATTAAACATTTTTAAAAACTTATTCCTCCAATTAACTTAATAAAGTAATTTTATCCTTCTTTTATTTAATAATTTTACTTTACTTTACTACTTTATTTTATAATTTATTATTATTAAATATAGTAACTAATATAGAAATAATAATATATACTATTCTTCAAAAATAATATATTACTCGAATATACAAATAATTTGTAATTGAATTTTTAATATATCTATATTATTATTCTATTTTTAAACTTTTAATTTCATTTTATATTAAACTAATTATTAACATTCTTTATTATTCGACCTTCTTAATTTACTTCTTTACTTTTATTCTACCTTTAAGCATAGTAAATAACTTTTTAAGAAACATCTATTTAAAAAGGTACATACTAAACTATTTTCACTTTAATTACTTTAAATTATTTACCTTTTTATTTTATTTTATTCTTTCTTTTTCCTTTTCTAATACCTTTTCTCTTTCTTAACTTTAGTATACTTCTTACTTTTTTTTTTTTTTTTTTTACTTTTTCTTCTACTTCCTTATTATATTCTTTTTATCTTAAACTTATTCTTATATTCCTTAAAGTTGTATTGTTAAATATTTCTATTTCTATATTATATTTAATTAGTATATATATTATCTAATAATATATATATATATATATATATAAATATCGAAGATACTAAATTAGTATTCCCAATATTAGACGAATATACTTAGTACTAGACTAGTATTTCCAGTACTAGACTAGTATTTCTAGTACTAATTCTAGTATTTCTAGTACTAGCCTAGTATTTCTAATACTAATTCTAGTATTTCTAGTACTAGTCTAGTATTTCTGGTACTAATTAGTATTTTATTTTTCTTAATAACTTTTTAGTTTTTTACTGTTTTGAAAAACTGTTGATAGTACTAAAAAGAGCTCGTTTTCTAGCATATTTTCTATACTAAAACTATTTTTTGAAAATACTAAAAATACTTTAGTAGTACTAAATACTAGAGTACTAATTAGTATTAGTACTGGGTCTAGTACTAGTACTGGTTAAATACTAGACTAGAGTAGTACTAATCCCAACTCTGCTAGAATCTCGTTGTCCTGATGGAAAGTACCACGCGCCGAAACCCAAAAGCAAGGCCGAAAGGATCCCAATTGGGTCTCTCCGATCCTACGTGTTGTTTGACGATCTTCCCGCGGTCCAGGAAGGTGATAAGTACAACTGCGAGGTGTCAATTGAGGGGAGTGGCAAGGAGACGTTTGTGGTCGTCCAAGTGAAGCAAACGGGACAGCCCAACCGGATACGCACAACCAATCTTCGTCTATGCCTTGGTTTTAATCCTGGCACCAGGCTTGCGAACGTCATCCGAGCCGAGAAACAATAAACTATTTGAAAGAAAGTGGGACCCAGCAACACGACTCCTCAAGTTTGCCGGTTTTACTGACTTAGGTTTCAGAAGTCGCAGCAGCAGCGGCATCCTTCCACAACTGAGCTGTCGCCCATTTCTACACAATCACCAGTGTGATCAAAGATCGAGATGATCCACGAGCTCTCTTTCTAGCAAATGCCAGACAGTTCGCAGTTAACCTACAACACAAGCTTCCCATGCACTTTCGCGATGTTGAAGTACCAGCGTCGGAAAGTTGTCTACGACCACGACGTTGGCTCAGTGATGAGTAAGAGCTGGTTCCACAAGCATGTGAGTTTGCATGCTTGTAGGCTTAAAGGCCTGTGGATCCAACGTACGCTCACCCGACAGAACTGTTGTACGCACGAGTGTGCAGGTTCACTCTTGTCTTTCAGCATCAAGCGAGCTGGTATCTGAATATTTCAAATTGTAATTAGCCTGTGGTTCCGTCCGGGATCTTGAATCAAGTCTCAGAAACGTGGTACACAAAGTATTAGGGGAGCTAGGGCTGAGTGTCTCAAGAGTGTTAAGGCGGATGGATGAGCCGATGGACGGGTATGCATCGCATATGCATCCTTGGCATCCAAGGAACAGGGAACATCACCTCATAACCTCTTTTTTTGTGATATACAGTGGAGTGCACCAGCTACAGATATCGTCTCAGACTTGTACTAAGTGACAGAATGGTCGATTGAGAGGATAGTTCGAAGAAAAAAAATATACACGAAGTAAAGTGAGTTGGCTGTGACACTGTTGAGATATACACACAGAGTTTTGTCCTGAAAGACAGAAAAGAGCATTTGGCGTATGTTTCATCGTCTCATTGAGTTTTGATACCGGCTAAATTTATCTTTGCGATATCTGGCGGTTGCTATTTCAAGTGGGCGTTCCTACCAAGAGTTGCTAGATGCAGCTTGTTAGCTCTTTCCTGGTGTATCCACATGTCATCTACAACACCATTGAACATTGGAGGCCGCTTCCTGCCTACATTCGGATGTCTGCCTCAGAATTCTCCATGCGATCCTCTTCTTCAATCGGTAGACCAAGGAAAAGATCCGAAACGACATCTCTGAGCGGGACGCTTCTTCCTCCCCGCCCTCATCACCTTGTGCCGTGGTCGAAATATAGGGGATTTTCACACACCGTGCCCGGGAATTGGTCGACTATACTAACCATTCCGTCCCCTCTGTCGCGAAATTCTACCCTGCACTCGTACCGACGGGTGCGAGGGTTGAGAGGTAACCTCTCGATGAATTCATAGCTCCTTTTATCCTCCTCGAGGGCCTGCGATTGCTGACGTCGTCTTACCCTTAAAATGGGTCGCATACCAAGCGCAGACAGTCACCGGTTTGCATGGGGATCACGCAAGTCGGAAAGACGTCCTGCTTCGCTTTGACGTCCTACTCATGTACATTTCGTTAGTACGATTGCTGCTACTATTCATCAGCTTTGGGGAAAATCCAACTCACGTAACAATAGAGAAGGTGCCATGGGTAGGTAGGCTTTGTTATGTTGTCCCAGTCGCCCCGCCCCTCCTCTTGTCCTGCGTGCCTCATCTGCAGGCCGATGGCCGCGGCGCCCTGGTGCAAAAATTGAGGTACGGTCAACACCATGAGTTCTCAATAGAGGGATCCAATGGCACAGCGCACAAGACTGTCGATATTAACATGATTAGCAGCTGAGTAAATGAAAATCATGAGAGGTTCCATTGAAACTTACTCCTCGCTAACTGTCCGCTTGTTTACAAGCAAAGCTGGAAAGCCTTGTTCATGAGGCTTCCTCCAGCCATGATGACCACAAGGGGATTTGGTCTGCCCCCGGCTCTTGTGGCTCTTGGCAAGTGCCTTGAGCCTCGTTTCGGCCTCGTCAATCGCGGGCTGGAAGGCCTTTTTCCAGCATCGGTCGTGAATATCCTGGATTAAGCTAGAAACACCGTTGTGGATGAACGGGAAGACGAAGATACCTCTGGATTAAACGGATAAAGTTCAAGACTTCAGGATGGATGTACCTAAATGTGGTTTAAGAACGGGTAAGAGAAAGAGGAGAGAATGTGGGTCATATGATATAGATACCTCTATGCTCACATATATGGCTGAAATATTTGCGGCGGTCGTATTATATGCGTAGAAGCGTAAACCAGAGAAACAACGTATAGAACTCATGGTCGATCACACTATATGTAGTGTGAAAAGTAACCTTCTTCCTTTGGCAGAATGAGATGACTCCTTCTCCCTTGATTCATTTCATGACTCCCGTCCTCTTGGCAACACAAACCGTACTGTTGAACAGACACCACACTGCTCTCAAGCCATTTCGACTCAAATTTAGAGCCTCAAAACTTCGAGTGTTCCATCAAATCGTCCTTCACTTTTGGAAAGACAGACCATGTTTTTGGGCTGCTTGAAATAGGATGACGAAGCACTTGCTTTAGGGCAGTGAGTAGCGTTCACGTTCATGTTCATGATCGTGCTGATTGTGATGGTATGTATGGTGTTTGAAGAGTCAATCACAACGGTGAAAACGTCTTCTAGGTTCATCCAGGCCTGTCATGCTCATGGTTTCCCTCAAACTGGAGGAATATACAAAAATCTGTGAGAGTGACACCTGTCCTCCGTCATCCTGCAAGTGCCCCTTCCATTCAATTACTCTGGCCTGCGGCCCCATGCGACCCGCAAAATGAAATAGCCGTGAATGTTAGGATCGTTCCATTCCTTCTTGACGTAGCGTGCGAACACCTTAGCCTCCTCGGGGGTCCAGCCAAGGGCGGCATTCCAAAAGTAGTTGATATATCCTGTGACCATATGTTAGCATCAGTCTCGGCAGTTTCAATCAAGGGGTCGGATGTGTGTTGGCGTTGCCCCCTTGGTAGTTTTCCCTCTTCTTCATGCTGTGAAGCACCACTTACCTTCGATATCTGCCTCAACAGCCATTTTCCACCAAAGACCTCGTTCGGCGGCCTTCTTATCCGGGTGCCAGACACCCAGAGGGACTTCGATATCCCTGAATTGGATATCGACGAATCCCGCAGCTTCCATACCCTTCCTTTGGAGGTCCTCTTCATAGACAGTAAAAGTCCTTCCGAGCTTTTTACCGCCCTCCCGGAAGACTATGCCCCATTGGTCTATAGCACTCCCCTCCTTCAACGTCCCGTCATGACTAAAGAATCTCCCAGAAGTCCCGGAGCTTTCTACCCAACCGCCAGGCTTGCAGACTCTGTAGGCATTACGGAAGAGGGCGTACCAGTCGGTGACGATACCATTCATGAAGCGCATATTAATGAAGTCGAAGGTATTCGCGGCCCATGTCCACTCTTGGTTGCAGTCCTCCAACTCAAATTGGACATTCGGCGGCACCCAGGAAGGTTGAATGGGCGTGACATCGGTACCAATAACTTCGGTATTCGGGAACTCGTCGGCAAAATCGCTAAAGAAAACAACGGCGTCGTTAGAAGGACTCGATGGAAGATAGAAAAACTGAGAAGGCACTCACATGGACCACAGTCCGGACCCTGTTGCGATGTCGAGTACCTTTTGAACCTTCTTCTTCTCCAGTGGAGCGAGATACAGCTTTCCGTCTGTCTGCAACATCAGAGCGTGGTGTCTTCTCAACTGTTAGGCTGTACGGTCGAAGCAGTCATTATTGATCGTGGGTGTGAGGTGGTTGCCTTTGGCGGTCGTCGCAACAAGACCAGGGAGTGTGGATTGAAACAACAGCTAAAGGCAACCAGCTGACACCCATGGACAATCAGGTATCTGCGGGTATGCGGGTTCTTACAAGAGATCCAAGGCTTCGACGTGACGCGGATCATTCGGTTCCCAAGATTCAGCATTACCCAACTCGCCATGATAGGTTCTTCCTTGAACGGTGCGGTATTGGTAAATGCTCGAAGCCAGAGAAGCGGTGGTGGACATGAAAGATCCAAGTGTCGAGGCACCATCGTTGCTCGGGCCCTCTTCCGGGAGCTGCAAAGTAGAGAGGAATATGTTAGTTTCGGTGCTTGAACATCAAGTACCGCAGAATCTCGCGATATTGGGGGTCGGGAATGCAAAGCTGGTAGTGTCAACCAAATACGTGCTCATCGACGGCCCCCGAAACGCAACTGGCAGGCCATGAAGACCACGTCTTCTATGCGACACAAGATCTCAATTCCGGACGAAGATATGGTAATGAACAGAGTGATTTACCGCTTGCTCTGTCCAGTGCGACGCAGGAAGAATGCCCGCGGCGTTTTGCGCCTCGACACTGAGCGGGGCCGAGACCGGGGCTGGAGCAGCTGCCTCGCCCTTGGGGCTTTGGGGACTCTTGGGACTTTTTGGACTGGTGACCATGGTCGCGGGTTCTGGGTGAACAGTCTGACGGGAGTCTTTTGGGCGATAAGAGAAGGAGTAGGACTTGTTGATCGAGGAGCGAGAAAGGACCTGACTTTAAGCACGGCGTGCAGGAAGAGGAGAAGCCAAGAGGAGCATCGTACTGGGAGTCGGCATCCACAAACGGAAGCTGTACAGTCTTTGCTACCCTGATGGGTCACTGTGGAAAATGCAGAAAGAGTTCAGTTCGTTGGAATCCCTTCTCTGGATGGCCTGCATGTTGTGGTCCTAGCCGGGGGCCATGCACAGAAAAGAAAGACCCTATTGACCGAAACCTGCATCAACAAGGGGTTCTGCTGCTGACCCCGGCATATTGCAACCATATTCAGCCCTCCCGTGGGGTTCAATGGGGTGATACACGTTGCATTCTTCCCAAGACCTAAAACCCCCCACTGGCAAACCTCAGCACACGTGTCGCCCACTATTGAAAGCTCATGCAAATGTGGGGTACACGGCCCGTTCGGCGAGAGACTGCAACCCGTTGTAGTGTACTGTCAAGAATGTGCGGTAGGATAGAGGGGCACTTTGGGACCAGACACCAGTCACCACACGTGTTGTGACAAGCGAAGGCGGGGAGATGGGCATGGGGGAAGCCATCAGCGTGGGAGGGACGCCCAGCCAGATGTGTGGCAGGACAGGATGGCTATATACCTGCAGATGACTCTGTTTTCCTTGATTCCTCCATGACTAGCGAACAAACACAGCTTTCCTCTCAGTCTGTTCACATTGGAGTTGGAACCTCAACGCTTGTCCATCAACACATCCTCCTTTTTCCACCAAGCAGGGCGAGCGTTCCGGCCCTCGTCCAATGTTGAAGAAATGTCAAGAGAAGACGGGAGCCACAGGTTTCGGCGCCTCGGGGGCCAGATAATTTTCCTTCTTGACCAGTGACCGCTTGTTCGTCGTGTGCTGTGACGCAGCAAAGGTGGTCTTGGAGCTTGTGCTGGCCTTGGAGATCCTGTCACGATTATTCCTCTTCTTGTCCCTATTGCCTCTGTTGTACTTCAACTTCGGTGTTAAGTCCCTGGCTTCTCCTTTGCTCTTCTCTTTGTACTTTATCCTCTTTGTGTGGGTGGTCTTTTCGTTGGCGTATACGGAAGGGTTGTGCGCGGTGACCGAAAGGCCTGTGATGGAGACGAGAGCAGGCGCTGGGGACGGCATTGACAATACGAACACGGCGACCGCGGTGGGCTCGGGCAGTCGTGCGAAAGAGGGTACACTTGCTTGGTGCGTCGGCGCGGGGACTCAAGGAGAGGACTGGTATAGGAGGCGTTGGCAAGCAATTCCGGACGGTAGGAGGCCTGGCTAGTTTGGGTAAAGATCCGGCTCGAAAGGAACACTGCTGAAAAATCAAAAACAGAGCCAACAGGCGAACGACCAGGCCATCAGCAGCGAGAAAAGTTGACCATGAACTGGGGTACTGAATGCCTTTGAAGAGATACTTGACTGCCCTTCCATGGAGACTTGTACGCACCTTTACAAGATGCATACTTCAACTGATGGAAGTCTTGCTAAAACCAGACAGAACTGTGTCCCTCATTTGGAGCCCAATTCAGCTGGTGAACCTTCTTGGCGTCTCTTGGTCTGATGTTGCGTCCCTTCACTATCACGAGTGGGGCTTCTGAGTAAACTTGTAAGTAAAGGGAAGCGACACTGGGGAATGAATTGTCCAGGTTGTTGAAGTTAGGTTGAAGTCCGTGCCAGGCAACCATGGGCGCCCAGTCTCGTCACTGGAATTTCTATTCACCAGCACTCCCTTCTTGGATGGAGTATATGTTGTAGCCGGCTCTAATTTCCGTTCTTTCTTCTCCGCCTTTCTACTTCAACACCCAACGGGGCAGGGAACTTTCACGTCTTCTGGGTTTTCTCTTCCTTCTTCGCCCATTCTTTCATTCTTCTCTACCTACCACTCCGACCCGACAATCTTTCCCTCTTTGGCCAGGTCGATTTTGGGCCTTGCACCTGCCCTCATTTGCCACAGGCAATCGACGACAAAGCGAATTGAACCTCGACAACTGCCCACCATGACCGCTCCTACTTCCGGCATGAATATTCCCCAGTTAGCGGACGCAGCGCGGTGTGTTTGACAACCTCCACCCATCCACTGACGCGTATACTGACTCTTCTTCGATCACTTAGCCCGCGTGTCGTGGTCGCCCTGGATCTCGGCAGCTCTCTCACTCGCGTCATTATTCAGCGCATAGGATTCTCCCCTGCAGGAGGCATCATCTCTAAGACTTTTGCCTCCCATGGCTACCCGTTCGATGACCATGTCCCCGTGTATATGGGCGACAATCATCCGTACGATCGCGAGTCTGTTTCGCTGAAGTACGCATTTTACATCCTTGCCAATGCTGCAGACAAGTTCGTGGATGAATACCCCATGATCCAGAGGCTTCGTCAAGAGGACAGTCAGGCATTCCGGCAGAAACTTCGGACGGGAATCCTGGAGTTGTTGAGGGAAGTCCGAGGTTGGATTTTCCAAAACCCTCGTAAGGATTGGGCGATCAATAACCTTCCTGTCTCCATGCCGGCCCAGTGGGGCGTGGAGTTTGAAGATGTGGTCCGGGATCTAATCAGAGAGGCTTTTGAGTGGAACAAGGTGGAGGCAAGAAACAAGGTCGGGTTCCGCAGGGAGGCCGATGGCCTAACTCATTACATCTTGAATTCACCCGGGTATCTTGACGATGTTAAGGTTCCAGGCTCCAATCAAGTGTGGCTGGTGATTGACTTTGGCGGACATAACCTGGTAGGTTCTTCTGTCCTCCTAGCTTGATCGATGTCCGAGGGATTGCTGATTTTTGGGATCTAGAACGCATCCTTGTTTTGGGTGAGGCACAATGAGCAGGGACCGCCGCAGTTTTTCAGACTTGAACAATCATTTGGTGAGTTTAATCATCTTAGTGCCACCCACTCTATAATCATCTGGTCTAAAGTCTGATGATTGACTATCTCTTAGGCGCTGGCGGCGGCACTGAACACGTGCTTCACGGCATTCTGGTCGCTTGTGCAACCAAGTGCCTCAACCAGGATGCCGGCCCAGGACATCCGATGTGTCCCGCGATTTCCGAGCAAATTCGCGAGGCATTTACTGATCCCCGCGTTAGAGGAGACTGGGGTCCTGCCCAGGAGGGAGAGACTCCCAAAGCATTCTCCTTCGGTGTTCCCCTGTGGGAAGAGCAGAATTTCCTGCTGTGCACGTTTGACCAGGACGAGATCACTCAAACTTGGAACGAAGCCCACAAAGCCGCCTTTGAGCTTGTTGATGACCTACTCAAGAATTTGAGAAGGAGGACCGCAGAGACTGACCACCCTAGCATTGTCCCTGAGCCGGTGATCTTCATTGCCGGCGGTAGCACCAAGAACAAGCCCGTGAAGCGCAAGCTGATGGCCATGGTCCAAGAAGCCAACCTCCCCGCTCCAGTTTTTCTTGACTAGATGTTTCCCAACACCAAGCAAGTTGTAGCTGTTCTGCGGCTTACAACATAGCTCGATCCGAAACTCTAATGGCGCCGGTACTGCGACAGCTATGATGAGGACTCTGGGGCCTTCATCACATTGCAATCGGAAGCGCTCCATTGGTCAAGCGATCGAGTGGGCGGTTACTCACATGGTTGGCGAACGGTGATTTGGGCTGATGTGGATTGTGGTTGAAGTGGTATGCCCGGGATTGTATGGGATTTTGGCTTGTGGTTGACAAAAAGCTTTGTCGCCATTGGTCATTCTGCTTGGTTCTCTGATTCTTTCTTTACGACGTGGGACTTAGCAAGTTCTGGCGTCCACGTTGTTTGTTCTACAAAAGTATTTGTTTCGAAAATATGGGTAATCACATCCTTTCAGATCTGACGGCGTATCAGCGTTTGATCAATGGAAACTCATAAGTGGTATCACGAGGGGGGAGAAAGGGCAACATGGTAGGAATATCACAAGCCCATAGATGGAATCATCATATTGATAGTTGAGTTGTCTGTGATCCGGATGCTAGAATCGTTGGGAGCCGTGTGCCCTTGATGCTTTATCGTCGTCTTCTTGACCTCGTCGTCTTCTTGACCTCTACAGTGCATATGTCGCTTGACGGGAGGAGCTGTCTGTCGCATGCTGCAGGTCATTGCAGATTTGCTCGTTAACTTCTACTTGGTACCCAATTAAGACCATTTGAAGCTGCCCAATTCCCACATTTGCCCGTTAAGACGCATTGTCATGCACCCCTAACTGATTGTTGTGTCTGATTTGACATGTACGCAACGAGGTTTGTTCGAAGCCTCTATTATCCAAGAAAACAGATAACCTGGACCCGATAGCGTTTACATGCATATTCATTCATGGAAGCACCCCCCGCACCCACCCTAATTTCCGCGCGCTTTTAACGTCTACTTTACAACTTTCACTTCTAAGACACTCAACGATAATACGTCACCCATGCAACGTGACTTGACCATATTCTCAGGACATGAAGACTGACCGCTGGATTTGTTGTTGGTGCCATTTTACCTGTTGAAACCTTGTGAGATGCCGTCCCATGACGTGTTTACATCCGTAGCTCCGAGCCGTCGCGAATACTTGAAGTGATAGCATCGGTGATATATTTTTCTCGGCATTTTCACGACAAAGCTTGGGGTTAGGAAGTTAGGAGAATGTATAAACCCCAGTCGGCTGGGAAGGAACGCGTGTTCGTGCTGAATTTGGGCTTTCCATCTCGGTCTGCTAGACTCCTTCTCCCTTTCGCTGCCATTTTCGTCATAGCCTCAGTCGCCCGTCTAAGCTCTCCGTTGCCCAGACTCACAAGTCCCATTGTACTCTCTGTTAAAGTGTTAAGGAAGCGGTACTCCACGCTCATTGATCCAAAATTAGAAGGGCCAACTCCCAACTACATATGATTGACTTTTCTCCATTGTAAGAAGTAGCAACAATCGATGGCAACCCTGTTACTATCTTTCCTCTCCAGCTTGATCGGCTCGGCCGAATCCTGCAGTCGTATATAGGTACCCTTCTTTATAGGGGTTGGCATCTAGTCCTCTCCCTTCAAGACATAGCAGCGGTTGGGTCTCATGGGTGTTGTGTTCGCAGGCTATGCAGGAGAGATAGCAAATGGAAGATTCGAATTTCGTTTGGAAGATGTAGTATCGGTTGAAAGAACCTAGGAAGTTGGACTTCCAATCCGCCTTCGACCTTCGGCATGTCATCTAACATCTGTTGAACCGCTATGAAATACTACACTTGAACTTCAATGAATTCATTGCCTCTGTGAGTAGGCAGATACGATAGCACCGCAGGGAAAGACTGACGATATTCCTCGACCATGTACCCCCAACTACGGACACCGAAGACTCCGTTCCATGCACAAAGTCCACTCCGCACTTAGTCCTCCTCCAACCGCCTCCCACCCCCGCCCCAAAACTTGGGGTTAACCTTATCATCCGCGGCCCTCTCCGCCTTCCCATGCTTATTCTCAAAGTCCCTATTATGTGCGTCCACCTCGGCCTGCTGCTCCTTGGTCAACTTGGGCTTGTTCCCGGGCACGCTAGCGTTGCTAATCTTGGGCTGGGCCGGCGCGCTTGGATGGGAGCTCGAGAGGGGCTCGCCGCCACCGGTGCGGCCGCGGGCGTCGCCGTTCGCTAGACCGTCCGGCATGGCGAACTTGTCGGACTCGGAGGTTGAGGTTGAGGTTGAGGTGTTGGACTCCTCTTTGCCTTTGGAAGCGTTGGGGATCGGGCCGCCCGTGGGCGAGGAGCCCGTCTCGACGGCTTCCTTGGAGCGGGAACCGCCTGATTGGGCAGAGGCGTCCTCGGGGGATTTTGGAGAAGAGGTGCCCGTGGATTGACCCGAGGTCGTGGTGTTGCCGTAGCCGGCGGTGGATTGGAGATGGCGGGAGGTGTGGAGGGGTGCGACGCCGCCGGCGGGGAGAGTAGCGCGGGGCGTTGCGAAGGCCCGGAAAAGGGTGCGGGAGGTCGCGAAGCGGTTCATTGTTACTGGTTGTTCAGGAGGATTTTCTGTAGTGTTTTGGAGTTGTGGTTTTTTGCACGACTCAATCGATTGAAGGGTGGGAGCTGGAAAGGATTTTGAATCTAGGGGGCAGAAAAGCTGTGTTTTGTTTACGTGTTTGGGGCAAGCTGAAGTCGGATGGCCAAAGAGGTACTCAAATTGACGTTGTGGTCATGACATCACCAGTCGCTGCATTGTCCAATCATGCCCACTAATTCGCGGGGAGGAAGCAGGGAAAATGGACGAGCTGTGGAGCTTCTTTGCTTGTGGTTGATTCAACATAAAGCTGCCCATCTGACCAACCTCCAACAGCCCATGTTTCGGGAGTATTTAACACAGAGGAAACTACATGGATACTTCAATCGGTGATTGATTGGCGGGCTGTAAAAGAAAGTATGTGACCCAGAAGGCCCAGATAGACGCCCGCAATATCAGATTCCATGCACATTGAACCGATACTGATCACCTCTATCCAGGTACACGACCTTTTCACCTAGTCCCGCCTGTGTAACTGCCTCCTTAAAGTCATCCAAGCCCGACAAAAACACATTGTAATCATCAAAGTGCACTGGTATCGTCACGTCTGGATCCATCAGCTGCATCAGCTTGACTCCCTGCTCTCCATCCATAGTCACCATAAGCAGCGGCAACTTTGGTCCCGGAATCGTAGTACCACCCAAGTGAACCAGCATCAGATCAATCTTCTCGTCCTTCAACCGCTGCGGAATCTCCTTCAGTTCGTCCACAAACAGCGTGTCGCCCGAAATGTAGATGCGATACCCCGTCTCGCCTCCGTCCTCTGATCCATCAGCAGAGTAATTCATCTCGATCAACCAGCCATTGGTCGGCGGGACAGCTCCCAGCAATTCGTTTACAGCTGCCAGTGGACCGGGAGGCACATGCTTCCCCGGCATGCCCGTCACCTTGATCACCGGCTTCTTCCCTCCCGTGTCGCCCTTGTAGTTAACCACGGGAAGGAGAACGGACTGGAAAAAGTCCAAGTCGTAAACGGCCTTGAAGGGATCCTCCTTGCCCGCTAATGCCTGCTTCGCGTGCGGAGTGGAGATGATGGGGAAGTCCCGGTTCAGGCTTTCCTCCACCAGCTTATCAAAGTGGTCTTCGTGGTAATGGGACAAGAGGATGCAGTCAAGCGGGGGCAAGGCGTCGATGTCGACGGCTGGGTTCTTGAGACGTTCCGCGGTGACACCCGGGCCCAGGTGGACGTGGTCGCCGGCGTGCAGGAAGTTCGGGTCAGTGAGGATGCGGATGCCGTGCCATTCGATCACGGTGGTAGCGTTTCCGATGAAGTAGACGCTCCCGTTTTCTGGACCAGTCGAGGCCTTGGTCGGGTGGGTCTTGACGTTGGCGACGGGGAGGACGGGTTCGGGCTCGTGGTGGTGATGGTGTTCTAGCTGGGCTTTGAGGAGAGGGATCCGCTTGCTGGGGTCGAGCTCGAGACGGTGGACCAGTTGGGTCTCCATCATGGTGTTTAGTGTGCGACGAAGGTGATATCAGCGGTAGAGAAATTTCTGTTGATCCTGACCGTACTTACCTTCTTCCCTTCGGTTTCTTCCTTTGTTGTTGCGTACTTCCAGTTCTGTCGCGCCGTTCGCTGTTTCTCTCCAAAAGCGTGCATGGATGTATGATGTAATCGATGGGGTTGGGGCAGACACCCCGCGATGCCTCTACGTGTACCGGCCCGCGTCAACCCGTGGAGACGCTTTCGTTCTTTTTCCATCTCCCACCAGCATGTTGTTCCTGCCGATCACTTCCCCCCTTTACACCAAAACACCAACGAACTGACAGGATGCCTTTTTCAAATTTGTGGGCGTCCTCAGGAACACTCATCAGGCCCTCATTTCTGATGGAATTCTCTGGCCAATCTCTATCGCGCGTGGGGTTTGGAATGAGGTCGGACAACTGGTAAGCGAGGTCAGCATTCAATTGCACCCAGCCCTGCTTCGACAAAGCCGCGGCTGTTGGTTCATGAACTTCTGGTGTTTGTCGGTTTGTCTCCCTCATTCAGATGATCATTGCCAACTAACACAGACAGATCCAATATCCCCGGGGTTGAGATCTCCCGATGCAGTGGTCAGCTTGCCATGTCCATGACAGCACATGGCCGGGTTAGGATTTTGTTCGCTCGCACGCCCCCGAACGCATACCGCAAGTCCGCGCTCAAAGTGACCCATTGCATTTTACAAGGGTAAAATGTCACCCAATAGTCTACACCTCGGCCACTGCGGGGTAACGTCGCAACCGCTCTGCTCGACACCGTGTACACTACGCGGCCAGTATCGTTTTTCAGTTAAGCCAGTGAAACGAACCCCGCCGAAAGAATTCCACCAAAGAAGCACCGCCAAATGGACATTCACTGTAGCATGCGCTGCTTCAAGGGAACGGACCCTATGCTCCATGCCGGCGTCGGACACCGTGGCCTCCCATTGGCGACGCCCACTCAATGAGCGGTTACCGTTCCCGACTTGGTTTCACCCCCGAGGATGGCTCTGCGTTCTTCACAGTGGACATTGCCGGTAAATTGTACGGTTTTGTCCTCGCCGTGCGTTTCCCCTCCCACATTCTGTCAGTAGTTAAAAGCTCACCCTTCGGCAGACTCGTCGCTTGTCAAAACCATAGTCAAATTCCTGTGTTTTCTCTTCATTTCAGTTCCCACGCACAGTCGCAAAAATGTCGAGCTCCCAAAGTCCCAAGAGCCCCAAGGGCCCCGAGAGCCCCAAGGGCCCCGCGAGTCACGGGGGTAAAGCAGCTTCCCCTGAACCGAACCCGGCACCACCTGCGATTGTGGCGCTCAGTGCCGAGGAAATAAGGGAAGCTGGTATCCTACCAGGCGCCCACTGGACAGAGCAGCCGGTAATCTCTACGTCTTCGCCTGCCACGTTACTCGATGATTATCAACTGATTTGATTTTCTTTTGTCTAGATTGAGCAAGTAGACGACGACGGTGCCTCAACTATTGGATCTATTGCCTCCACCACAGCCTCCCTCACTTCGAGTATTTTCGAATACCGGACCGTCCACGGGAGAACCTACCATGGCGAGATTGGTAATGCGGAATCATGGGAGCCTAACGACCAACGTCACGTTGATTCTATGGACATCTTGCACCACACTTTCATGCTTTCCCTCGGGGACAAACTTTTCCTCTCGCCGCTCGAAAAGAACAATATCCACAAGGTGCTTGACGTTGGTACAGGTACCGGTCTTTGGGCAATGTACATCATTTTACCGTCTCATTACCTGCCGTGCACATTTTGACTAATCATTTATTGCTGGGATGCAGTGACTTTGCCGATGATTTCCCCAACGCCGAAGTGATCGGAACCGACGTGTCCCCTATCCAGCCTTCTTGGGTTCCTCCCAACGTCAAGTTCGAATTGGATGATTGCAACCACGAATGGACTTGGAACGAGGACTCCTTCGATTTCATTCATCTTCGTTTGTTAAATGGCGTTGTGTCCGATTGGTTTAGTCTCTTCCGCAATGCTTTCCGCTGTGCTAGGCCCGGTGGATATGTTGAGAGTCTGACTACCAGTGCCTATGTTCGTAGTGATGATGGGTCAGTCAAGAAGGGGAGCGCCTTGGAGCAGTGGCATGGTATATTTTGGGAGGGCGGTAAAAAATTGGGAAGAACCTTCAAGGTATTGGAGGATGATCTTCAGAAGATGGCCATGGAGGAAGCGGGGTTTGTTGATATTACAGTCAAGGATCTCAAGATTCCCTTGGGCGCCTGGCCAGAGGACAAAAAGTTGGCCGAAATTGGCCTTTGGTGGAAGATGGCAGTCGAATCAGACATCGAGGGTAAGTTCCATTACCTTGTCGCCCTCTGTTGGCCCCTTGCAATTTTCCGATGGATTGCTTGTACTAATCCGTACTTACAGGATACCTCAACTACCTCTGTAACGCTTTGTTGGGTTGGACTTCAGAGGAGACTCTGGCATATTGTGCCCATTTTAAGAAAGAGTTGGCTGATCCTAACATTCACGGCTATTTTGTGATGCGTGTGGTCTATGGTCGGAAGCCGTAGGGAGAAAAGGAAATGCTGTAAGAAGATAGGTCCATCCTCTGGGTGCATGTCTTACTCCGATCTCCTTTACCAAGGTGAATCAGCACGCTAAGAACATGAGACACATATGCCTGGAATACACAGGAGAACGCAGTGTTTCTTTCTTTTTCCCTTTTTGCTTAGAAGTGTTTGACTGTTTATCGGATGGCTCTACCTGCGGAGGTGGAGGCCGAGACGGGCGGGAGGTTGGTAGGGCAGGCCAAGTTCGGGCCGTTCCGTACCCCGCCCTCCCCACCATAACAGTCCACATCGTCCCCTCGTGTGGTGGACAGTCGTCACCCACCGCTATTGCAAATGCTAGATTCATTATATTTGGCAACATTGAACCACACGCGCATCCTTATCGTTCACAAGCTCTGGTCGTCAACCAGTGAAAGGACTGGCCTCGAAGGTTCTTGGTGGTCGGGACAAAACACGAATAAGTCCGGCGATGTTACGACTGTCCAGAGACGGGATTCGGGGAAGATAAAAGCGGCATAGCGAGGAGGAGCTATTTGGGAATTCGGTCCTGCAAAGTGCAGCCGGCGAGTATCCATTGGTCTATCACGGTGCATCGCAGCGTACTCTTGCGCACACCACAGTGAATCAGACAGAAAAGACTGTGTGCAGCGTTGTTCCAAGATGATGCTCCTCCTCACCTGGGTCTTTAAAGCGCCCCAATGCCCACACGACAACTTGAACCATCTTCTTTGCTCCAGGTTCCGCCGATTCGTTTCCCTCAACCTCTTTATCCGCACTTGCCCTTCTTGTACTCAAAGCCGCACCCATGGATTCTAGCAGTAGCCAGAGCCCCAAGGCAGCATCTCCAACACCGACTACTGCCCCCGCGCCATTGCTTAGCGCCGAGGCAGCAGCTGCGGTTGGTATTCTTCCTGCATCGCATTGGGCTGATCAGCCGGTAAGTTGAACCATTTAGAGCGTTCCTGTCACTGAGAACTCAGCTAACCAAGTCTTCCATCTTTTCGCAGCTCCCCGAGGAACATGCAGACGATGATACGGCTTCTACGATTGGATCGGTTCTCTCCAGCACCGCTTCCTTGAGCAGCACCATCTTCCAATACCGCACCCACCATGGCAGAACTTACCACGGCGATATCGGTAATGCCGAGGGCTGGGAGCCCAACGACCAGCGTCACCTCGAGTCCATGGATATTGCGTATGTGCGGGCATTCAGCATCCCAAATCCCGAGTTTGGCGAGACTACATGAGTTACAATCATAGTGCAGACACTGACGGCCTGAAAAAGCCACCATTGCTACACAGTGTGCGCCGGCGGAAAGCTTTTTCTGTCCCCTCTTGACACGAAGAAGGTTCAGAAGGTAGTGGATATTGGAACGGGCACCGGCCTGTGGGCAATGTGAGTTTCCCCGCAACCGTTGCTGGCATGCTGGGTCCCCTATTGATCTCCGGTAATTCTTCACTGACACCATATCTCTTCCATTCAGCGATTTTGCCGATGAATTTCCCCACGCGGAGGTTATTGGTACAGACATCACCCCCATCCAGCCGTCGTGGGTACCTCCCAACGTCCAGTTCGAACTTGAGGATTGCAACCAAGAATGGACTTGGGCCGAAAATACCTTTGATTTTGTTCATTTACGTATGTTGATCGGTGTTGTTGAAGATTGGCATGCCCTCTTCCGCCAGGCCTATCGGACCTGCAAGCCAGGCGGCTATGTTGAGAGCTTCCTTTGTTCCTGCCATTTCGTAAGCGACGATGGGTCTGTAAAGCCAGGCACCGCCCTAGACCAATGGGGAAATGTTTGCTCTCAGGGCGGCAAAGCGTTCGGAAGAACGTTTGACGTTTACGAAGAGGATTTGCAAAGGAAGGGGATGGAAGCGGCCGGCTTTGTCGATATCGACTTTAAGGACATAGTGGTCCCGATTGGCGTCTGGCATTCGGACAAGGATGCTGCAGAACGAGGACTTTGGTGGAAGATGGTGCTTGAGATGGATCTTGAAGGATATTTCAACTATATCTGCCACAGCCTGCTAGGCTGGAAGCCAGAAGAGACCCAAGCCTTCTGTGCCCATGCTAAGAAGGAGTGGAATGATCCTAACATCCATGGCTACGTCATGGCGCGTTTCGCATGGGGCCGGAAGCCAGAGTAAGAGTGGTTGTGCTCGCGAAGAAGTTTTGGATGAGGAGGGGGGGGGGGGGGGGGGGGAACCACCTTATGTGCGGCAGGCGCAGGACAGGCAAAGCGGCCCCCGGAGTGTGTGATGCCATTGTCAGCATGGGAGGCGGCGGGTGTGGCCTCGGTCGGGCATGAAAGAGCGGATGAGTGAGTTGTTGAGAGTACTGCTTATTTGGGAATGTAAAGAAGTTTCAGATTTACGATTTGACGATGTTGTGACAGATGTGTGAAGAAATGCCGCGTTCCGGGACAAGAATTGAAGCTTGTGATGCCGTGTTTGGTGTGGCACCTTAGGCCACGTTCTACGAGAGCTATGACGGGGGAACGAGTTGTCAGGTCTTTGTTTCTGTGACTGATCTCAAAGCTTTGTTGCTGGAGACGGTGACGTGAATTATTTATTTCGGTTCTAAGCCAAGATGAGAGGCTCTAGACTCAGCCAAAGAATTACGATGATGATGGTGACGATGATGAGTGTCGTGGTGGAACTTATGGACGAGCATCGATTACCACGATGAATGAGTATCAAGCGAGTGGAAAACTGAGGTTCACATCCCGGCTTACACTTGCTTGTGACAAAAGAATGAAAAGGGAAAGATTGTTTGCATGGAGGGCACTCAGGAGGAAAACGACAATGAGACTGTCGTGCGGCAAGCGCACAAGGTGAGGTGAGGTAAGGGATGTACCGCCGGTTGCAAAGGAAGGCAAAACCCAGACTGGTGTGCTCGATATCTGACAGCTTTTCCTTCGTGGAAGAGCGTGGATTCTCTAGGACTCTTTCCGCTTTTGGGTGAAATGTGGGGGCTACAGAACGGAGAGTTACGACAAATTTTCAACGGTAGGAACTTGTTGCACGTCTCTTTGCATCATTGTCATGTATGTGTCTTGAACTTTGAATCATTGCCTGTCCTATAGATCTACCAGTGGTAGCGCAACTGGCGCCAACATCCCACCCAGAGCAATATCATAGCCATCCACTCTATTTCATAATTCGCGAGCAAGTGGGTACATCTCCTTTGTATCCCTCTTAATCATACCAAATCAGCAATCAATAAGTCTCTTCCGAACTCTGAACTAACCACCCTACTCCATACGATCCATCTTGCATATGGGTAGAATGAACATAAACATCTAGGTATACCCCTCTCTCTCTCTCGACCTCAGCGATCCATCCTCAACAACCGCTATAACTCAAACATCCTTCAAAATTCATTCAATTCACAACTCCCTCAACATCCCCTCCCTCTCCTCCCCCGCCTCCCCAACCTTCATACACAACTCGCGATTATTCTTCAAAGCCCACTTATCATCGACAGGCCACCGCTTTTGCTCCTGCACGATCTCGGCTCCGAACCGCTCAAAGATTTCTGCTTCCGTCATTTGTACGTCTCCGTCTTCGTCTCTGTTTTCATCATTCTCCTCACCATCGATCTCCATCAAACAAGTATTTCTAGTGTCATCTCCAGCAGCAGCGGCAGCATCACCAGCACCACCATCACCGGCGGCAGCACCACCAGCAGCAAAGTGCGCGACCGCCCTTCCTTCTCTAAAAGGATGTTTACCACCAAAGTTGGGCGACGGGCAATTGGGCGCTGGACAGCAAAGGATGAAATACTTGTCTTGGTTGATGGCGACGTCCTCGGCTGATCGAGCAAAGTGGGATTCGAGTTTGAAGGCCCAGTGGTGGCCCTTTTTGGCTAGGGAGCGCTTGATTGTTTGGCGCTCACGGGCGGCGGCAGGTTGTTTGGTCACTTTGGTGATCTTGGCTTTGTCGGTGCTTTTGGTGGTAGGTTTGGTTTTGGGTGAGGAAGGGCCGGGAGAGGGGGATCTGGAAGGCAAAGTGGTGGTTGCTTTGCCTTTGCCCTCTAGGTCTTTTTTGGGGGGGTTGGTGCCGCGGCCGGAGGCGGATGTGCTGGCGCTGTTGCTGGCGCTGGGTTTGTTGTTGTTGTTGTTGTTGTTGCTGGCTTCCGCTGTGGTAGAAGCACTGGTAGTGGTGACAATGACTTCGTCTTTGTTGTTGACATCCTCTGTGGTGGTAGAAATAGGGATGTGAGTGGGAGTGTCAATTGCCTTTCCCTTTCCTTTGTCCAGCTTGACAATGATCTCCTCTTGGATGTTGTTGTTGTTGATGTTGTTGTTGAACTTGTCGTTCAACACAGGCTCCGATGAACCTGTGACAGGTGGACTACGCCTGGAGAATGGCTTGTTCTCCTTATTGTCCTTCTTGCTCTTCGTGACTTTGTAACTGTTGCTTGTCATGGAAGAAGCAACAGGAGAGGGCGATCTGGCAATGGCTTTGCCCTTTCCCTTCAGATCTTTCTTGGAGGAAATCCTTCCAGATCCGCTGGCAGTGGTGGTTGTCTTCGTGGGAGTGTCGCTGGCCCTGTTCTTGCCTTTTGCGTCCTTGATGTTGTTTCCTCCCGTCTTCTCAATGTCCGCACTGTCATGCGTCTCCTGGATCTCGTTGGACGTGACGCTGTTGGATTCTGATCCGCTCGCGCTGGGGCTGCTGTTAACTCTAGTCGCGGTAGTGGTAGGGTCGAAGTCGACAACTTCGTCATTGCTTGTTGCATCGTCAGTTCTGACAATTGACTGCTCCTCCGTGTGGTATGAGGCAGAAACCCCGGGAACACTTGCAGCAGCGACGGCAGCGGAAGTCGCAGACGGACCAGGAGTGGAAGAAGCATCAGGAGGGGAAGAGGAGCTGTCATGAAACTGCAACACGGACAAGTACACAGACTCAGATTCAGAATCCGACTCTGGCTCAGGCTCGGGCGTGACGGCGCGCTGCTCAGGGCGGCTGGGACCAGGGGCTGATGGAGCAGCAGCAGCAGCAGGACCACGGGCAAATTTGAGCATGGACACAGGCTTGATGAGGGGAAGCCTGTTAGTCTTCCTGACTGTGTTGGTGATTCTCTGAAGGGTTTTGGCAGAGAAAGGTTCGGGTGAGGGAGAGTTGGACTTGGCTCTGCCCTTTCCCTTGATGTCCTTCTTGGAGACGATGGACCCCGAGCCGGACTTGCTGTTGCCGCTCAATTTGGTCGGGGTTGCGGTGGTAGTAGCGGCAGTGTCAACGGTCTTGTCTTTGCCCTTATCCTTTCTGCTGTTGACATCCTCGCCCTGGGAGCCACAAGAAGCAGAGGGTGACTCGACCTCGAGCTCAGCAGTGGTTCCCTGCTGCTCAGAGCTCTCGGCGTTGACAGGAGCGGATTTGGCGGCGACTTGGGTTTCGGGCAAGACCAGCTCCCTCAGTCTCTTTCTGGGTGCGGGCGTGACGGCAGCTTGGACGGCAGCCATCCAAGCTGCATTGGCTGGGGCAACCTCGACTTGAGAAAGAGCTTCGTGCGGCGCAGGCTGGTTGAGCGTGTTTCTGAGGCCCTTAACCCTCTCGTAGAAGCTCGTCAAAACGCCGAGAGCCTGAGCCGGCGTGGGAATGCCTCCCAGACCGGCAAGCTCCTCCAACTGGGCTTGGTATTCCTGCTTGCACTCCCGAATCTTGTTGAGTGCCGACTCCCAGGCTTCCACAACCGCGTCCATCGCCTTTTGGACGGGGTTGCCGATCACACGGTCGTTGTCGCTCATGGTGAAGTTTTGGTTGGATCTCGATTTGAGACTGGTACTGATTAGAATTGAGTTCTTGATTTCGTGAAAGATAAGCGACCTACTTGTTGGGTGAAAGGTTGACTCTTTGTCAATGTACAAATGTCAATGTGGGTGGTGATGTTGTGATGAAAGTTGAAGTTTGTTGCAGTTTGCACTTTGTTGAAGAAATTGTAAAGTTGAGTCTTCGAGACGAGTCAAAGACTTGAAATGGAAACATCTTATGCGATTAGCAAGTGGATCCCCGTTCGCACTGAAATCATGAACAATAGAAGTATCCTATTGTCAACCTTCCTGTTCCACCTTTTCTGATCTTGAATAGTTCATCTGTACTCTATGTTGAGTGGAACTGAAGGGAGTGGGTACCAACTGTTGCCCAGTGACTACAAATGGAACCTGAATAAGGATTTCCAATTCATTGCTATTGTGAGATGGGACGAATCGACGATAACAGGACAAACGGTACCGTCAAGGGCTTTTCATCCGATGTCGATATCTCAACACCACAATGCGTCTTGTCTTGGCACTTGCCACCGCTTTCGCCTGTGGTGATGCTATTGTTTTGCTTGTAAGTTTGAGACCACCATATACGATACCGCGGTCTTTCTTTCAGCAGAGGAAAGACGACTAGCTGAAGCGTGAGCGATAATGGGTCTCTTATTTCGTTATTTGATCTTTAATCAGGCCTATTGAGTACTCCCGGTTGTGAACATTGCCCGAATATCAGTATTCCATAGTACCACTTTTGGTTCAAGAAATGCCATTTCAAATTTGTGCCATGCCTCGTAATAATCTACAAGCACGCCGGCTAGAGTCTGTTGTTTATGGCCACTTGATCCCGTTAGACCATTCCTCTCAACGAGAGTCGAGGGAACCGCATATGGGATAAACACTGACGAGATAGGTACCTAGCAAGGCGGGAACATCAACGTATCTGGTACTTGAGTTTCGATTTACCATTACCAGTGAGTGGTAATTTCTGTATGGTAAAATGATCCAAAAATTACCAATATTTCCTTCCCAACCCGAACCCTTGGGTGTACCGCCCCCTTTTTCGCTGGAGGTAGATACACGTAGTCACGCACCCATAAATTTGAACGAAACCGGTAACAATCTCTCCTAAACAATGAAGACCTTAGTTTGTACGATTTCATACACACTCGACCTTTCACTTGCGTCTTGCTCCCAAACTCAGAACCGTTGGGATATCTTTCGCGGCTGGTTCATGATAATGCAGAGTCCTGTCTTTATAACGCATGAAGAACACTGCTCCTCATTGGACCTTGAGTACCTCTTCTGAGAGCTATGCGGGGCTTGGAGTTTGGTTCATTGGCTGTTCATCTGTGATAAAGGTCCTCACAAAAAGTAGACCGAAAATTGGAAGCATTATCATCGAGTGTCCTGAGGACCTTGTGAGATTCCAAGTGCGTATAGGATACATAAGGGGTGGTGCGCATAAAACTAGTGTAGGGTTTCTCTCCCCAACTCCCAGCCCTAACTTTATTCGAACTCTGGAAAGTCCGCGGAAACACTCGATCACATCAAATCACATGATGGGTCTCAATGCGTGTGCCTGGCCTGAGGACACGGTGCCATGGGATTCTTACCAAGTTCCGAAGCCGAATCTAGGTATTTACTTCTCATCTGCCGGTCGTTTTAAGCCGCAAGGTATAAAGCTGGCGCACAGATTGGACATTTGGAACCTGGTTACTCGAAGATCACAGAGAAATATGGCTTCTTAGTCAATATTTTCGACGGACAATGGAGATTAACTAGTAAGCTTCTAATGCGGGTGACTTACAGGCTATCGAAGAAAGCCCAGGCGTAGACTCATTCCTGCAGTTGTATAAATCTGCATTTAGTGGAGGGAGCGGTCGTACAACTGCGTCAAATCCACCAATGCTTGTACGTAATGCGGCTCTAAGAGTCGCAGTGGCTGAGCACGACGCCATGCCAACAAGTTGCCGCGAGAGTAATTGACATGGGCTGTCAATTGACTGTAAAAAGAACTCTGAGAGGTCGAAAACACGGATTATACAGCACCGAGTCGGCCTATCAGCCAGAACCATGTCAGGTATCGCTTGTGTCACCACACTTGTTGCCAGAACGAGTCGGTGCACATCGGCAACCGTCATCTCCGGGCTTCGCTAGATACGTGAATGAAATTAACGTTGTGGCCAGCCTGGTCAACCACTACTCAAAATCTCTCTCCTCGGCATCCCTCTCCCTCACCAACTCCTCCGCATCAAACACAATCTCCACCATGACTGTATCCTTGCACGGCTCCCCCTTGGGAGTCTGGAACCTCGTCCGCGCCGACACGATTGTGTTCTCACAGCGATGATAATGCGGACAATTACCCAACAAGGCCTCCTGGTTTGCCATAGCCAGCACCTGTTTGGCATTCGTTCGGTTGTTATAGAACTCCCGGGTCGGGGAAACTTTGCATGCCCATCCTAGATCTTGAGTTCCCCCAGTACTTGTTGTAGTTTTTAGGGTCGTGGTGCTTGTGGTCGTGTCGCTGGCTATGCTACTGGTTGTAGCTACGAAAGCGAGGTATACACCGACGCATTTGGATGGATCGTCGTCGGAGAGGCTGTCGTTTTTGAACACAACTAGCCCGCTGCATATGTGCATTTCTTCTTCTTTTTGGGAGGAGTCGGAGGAGCGGACGTATCGGGAGGTAGGGATGAAGAAGCTTATGTCGTCGCGGAGGTCCTGCCTCGGCAATGCGGTATGCAGTCGGTACCCAGCCATGCCCCGGGGAAAAGTGATCATGAACCCATGATCGGGCTGGGGATAGACTTGAAACCCCTTCATGGCTACATCGATCTCGCGGCCATAGGCAGAGTAGACACGTCCAAAGTAGGAGATATAGTAGCTCGTTTCGGAGCGAGGCGTTAGATCGAGGACACCTGCTACCGCTCCCAGATTCTCGGTGGAGTTCAGTGTGTATGGGTCATCGATCTTGCGGCTAATCAGGCTGATGGGTATACGGGCGCGCATGAATTGGTTGTCTTTTCCGAAGAGGGGCAAGCAGATTTGAGAGCGCTGCATGTTGTTCTCGATGTCAACTTCAACACAATTGAAGACGGCGAGGACCCAGTAAGGTGAAAGGGTTTGTATAAGCGGGGTGGTCATGGCTAGGCCGGCGTTCGTCATGGAGAAGGGTAGTGTGAGATGGCGGCCATAGTTGGGATGGATGCAGCCTCCTTTGACGAAGGCGGAGGGATGGTGGGCAAAGAGGGTGTTGTCGGAGAGGTTGGTTTCAAAGGCGAGGATGCTGTGGTCATCGGACACCTTGATGATCTCTTCCTGAAGTCGCATAAAGGCCTTTGGTCCTTCCCCGTACAGCAAGGGCATGTTGATGCCGAAGATGCCAAGCAGGCAGTAAGCCAGATCTTCCACGCGGGTTGTCTCTCGCTTGGCGGCCCAGGTCATGCGCTGGGCAATGCTGTAGTCGCGCAACCGCTTCTCCTTCTTCAGACATGCGGCGTCAATGCCAGTAATGGTAGAGATGAGAACAGCGAGGGCCTTCTTGGCGCCCAGGAGCTCCCAGTCCTTTGTGAAGAACTGGACATGTTCGGGGGCGATGAGCTCTTGCAGGGTCCAGCCACGGGTAAACCACCTGCTTTTGCGAAGCGAATCGAAGGTATCGTCATTGGCCTTTGAACCAGACGCAGCAACATCGGAGAGGTAGACGTAGCATATCGTGGCCTTTTCGTACCAGGTGTACATGGAATTGATGGCTTCTGATAGCTCGGCCGAACTGGACTTGTCGATACACACCGTGTCCACCCACACATATTCGAGACCGTCCCGGCGAGCCTGCCTGCAAGTTGCGAGAATCTTGTGGAAGCCGGGGCGATGTTTGTGGGTCAATCGGGTCCATTTGTTGGTCCATTTCTGGAAAGTTGCCTCCTTTGCAAGCCATGTGTGCGATAGAATGACATATTTTGGGATGCTTGTGCCCGTAAAGTACTCGATCTCAAGGGTATGGGCATTGATGAGACGCATTGTTGGGGGAGAGCTCTGACTACCTCGAGGTGTCTCATGGCCTGGTTTTTGAGGCGGCGGCTAGTTTGGCGTTTCCGGTAACCGAGTCGACCTGTCGAAGGCGCAGTTGCGATGTGATCTGGTCGAGGATTGAGTTGCAATTTGATCCATTGGGACAGTCTGGAGACGATGGGAGGGACGGAGTGTCAGCTCGGTGATGCGCCAATCTCGTTTTGGCATCGTGGCAGTGTCCTGCTCAGCCTGGCTGGGGTGGGGTTGGCAGTGAGTTCACCCAGGATTCGACATTGTCATCGCCTGCAAACAGAGAACAGGCAACTATTATTATCGGACCGATCGTACACGATATCACTTCCTTGTGGACAATGACAACGAAGATCAGAAATTCTCCGACTTGTAGACGGCATACGATGGCTCCTCGTAGGGTTGCTGTTAGCTGATGACCACTGGCAAATGACCATGATAGCGGTTATTGTTAGTGCTACCCACTGGCTAAATCAATGGAACTTGCCTTTTGAGAGCCTCGACAGCTTTCCTGGCCGTCTCCTCGCTATCACACAACATCTCGACTCTGAGCTCTTCAATCTTTTCCAGGACGCCGACCGCGCCGGTGTGAGGGTTGGCGGCGCCGACGGGCCGGAATTGGCCGGTGCCGGTGGCAGTCCAGCAGCATTCGCTGTAGTTGGGATAGCGGCCGGCGCCAGCAGCAAAGACGGCCTGCTTGACCGTGTCCACAAACTGCGGCTCGGCGTGGAAGACGAGAGTGTATCTAGCGGAACGAGAAGCACGAGAGACAAGGGCGCCCATATTCAGCGATGTGGGATGTACGAGCAGTTCATGGAGGTCCGGTGTGATTTGATGATGTCAAATGTTCAACGAAGAGCTGCACTGAAAGTCTTGATGTTCAGTTTACAGCGCCGAGCTGTTTGGTAGCGCGATGCCCAGACCAGCATGTCCTTGTTCAAGTGGGGGTTATTGGCAGGTGTCAGGAGGGGGCCCACAGCTTTAGCAATTGGCACGGGCCGTCAGGCACAAACAGTGCAGACAAAGTTCCCCTCGTTTGCCAAGCGGAGTTTGCAACTCTCGCTCGGCAGCGTTCTTTGGGCTCATGGACGGATGTCTTTCTTCCAAAACACAACCCGTCATAAATCCCCAGCCCATTTCTCGTATCCAAGCCATTAATTGCAACCACACCCGATATGGCCGTTGACCATGGCTGAGGCTGAAGCCACAGAAAATCGCAACCGCTGAAGGGGGAGGGCTATTGCTGATAATTACAGGGCATGGCTTCAATAGTCAACATCGATGCCCTCTCCCGTCTGTCTCTTCCCGTACGGCCGGAGAATCCACTAGTCCTCTTCCTGTCCCGATGCCGATGCCCAGATTTGAGCGTCTCCGATCGACGTCAAGACAAGGACAACCCTGAAGACAGGATGGCCAGTGTCCACTGTTTGCTCTCGGCAGTGGGGATCCTGAGCTTAATTCAACCACACCTTATTGACCTCCACCATCGTGACCCATCGGCGGGCAGCAAGTGTCTCACGATACCGTCAACAATCCAAGTTCTCACCGTTCTTTTTCTTTTACATTTCGAACTATTGTACACATATCCTGATATTGGCTTCAAAGAAGATGACATTCCTTATTCATGCCAATGAGTACGGTTGGTGACAAGCCACCACCAAGCCACCTTCATGGTATCTTGTCTTGACGCCAGTTGGAAAAAGTCACGAGACTGAGTGAGATCGCATGAGTGGTGACCAGTCAGACAAACAGGGTCAGCCCCCGCATTCCCCAGTTTTTGTCTCCCGATTCTGTCGTTTCCTTTCCATCACATCGGTTCGTCATCACTTGCATGGTTGCAAATTAATTCTCCTACCCACGAATCACATCACACCTTGTCTGGCTTCAATCCGCGGCATTTGCACTTGCACGAGCCCAAAGTTCCCATCACGAGCACCATTGCATCCTGCCCTCCACACCCTCTTGTATGCCTGAAAGCAGCGCTTATTGGTCAAAGAAATGTTAACATGCAGGGGAGCCAAACTGTTTTCATCAAAAGTCGTCTGCAATTCAGGGAAAAAGTCATGTTCGCAAGCAATGAAGCCCGCTCGCCAATTCCTTAATCCTTGGTACACAATGTCTGATGCTACGCTGGTCACCCGAGTCATCATGTTCTTTTCTTGTGGTTAGCAGGCCGCCCCTATCACAAATATCTTGCCGACGTCACATCACCTGATCCAGAACATACTCAACAGCAATACCTGCTTGCAAGTACCACTGGTTTTGCATTGTTCAGTGTGTTTCCTAAGATCACCTTACTACCCCTGATTCTGATGTATAATAACATAGCCATCCACTCTTTCACAAGATCAGGATCGACCCAGACACTTTCCCATGAATTTTTCCCTTGTCTTCTTCACCAGAGTGTTTTACACACGAATGGCAAACAGCTACAATGGCACAGCCGCAAGTCAGACGCAGAACAAGCCTTCACGACAAGCTCAAAATATGGCAAAAGCCTTTACCCCTCCTGGATACCGTGCCCGACAATGAGGCAGAAAGACCGCGCTCCAGCTACCGGCCTAAACATGCTGCTGCCGACTTCTCTCGCTTGACAACTACACCACCACCCTCGATTCTCAACGTATGCCGACCACAAATCACAGAGTCTGAGACAAGTCAGATATCCCCTTCACAAACACGGCGAGCATACCGCCGCCCAGAATCGGCAAATCCTCTTGCTGAGATGCGATTTCGCGGTCAACGGCGGGACATGGCATCCGCATTTTTGCAACAAGAGCACTCAAAGCTAGCCCATCCACCAAGACAACCACCACAGACTGTCAAGAGATCGGTTCCTCTCACCGACTACGAACTTTTCCTTGCACGAGCAGAACTCGAGGAGAGAGCACACCGGGACTTGTTACAGACTATGAATGCCCAGCTACATGACAGTCTCCATGATCTCATCAGGCCAGACCCTCATCAACAGTTTGCCTCACTGTCTCCTACGAGGCTAAGCGCAGGTTCGACCGCCGTGCCAGGGATAAGTCGAACAACGACCGGCAACAAGAGTCGTGAGAGCCGCACCAGCTGGGCACCCAGTTCTGCAACCGGCAACACGGTGGCAGAGATTGTTGCATCCCAACAACACGAGGAAAGTCTAGGAGCACAACCTCACCATGTCAGTTCAAATCGTCAATCACTACCAGATGCCAAGAGCCATTCAGTAGTGCTCAATGGCGTCAAGGCATCAATACACCGCTCAGGGACTGTAGGTCGCATCTCGGACGACGGCCATGCACAGCAGCCAAGGGCTCCAACTCTGAAGAGGCAAGCAAGCTTTGCCCAGAAAATCGCCGAATACATTCGGCCTCCACGACGCGACGCCATGGATATTTGTAGAAACGAGACAACTTTGAAGTTGACACGGTCTAGAAGTCAGGCTGGGCTAAGGAGGCTGGTGGCTGTTCCCATTCACCACATTGAGGCGCTCGCAGAATAATCATCACTCAATTACTTGGTATTGCTAATGAATGTTACGCGCTACCTCTCCATGACACTGTCCCCTTTGCTTTTTGAACTTTCTGTTTCTACGTCTCGTTGTGTAACGTTCGTACATGATGTTAACGACTGTGGGTTGACCAAGACCCATTCACCGGCTCACCATTCAACCCTCAATAAGCTAACGCGGTATCTCTACCCGGTCAACAAGCCTCCAAACTAAAATGCGTCGGTCGCCCTTCTCAGTGCCGGCACCGCCTCAAAAATCGGTTTACTCTCCAATCCAAGCATTACGCACTTCGTTCCACCTTCGTAGTACATGGAGATTGGAGAGCTGCATGTCTTCCGGGCATCGCTTCCGTTGGGCTCCTAACGTACGGTCAAGGCCATAGTTACCATATATCTTGTGCCTTGACAGCTGATCGAGCACTATTATGAGCCGATGTACTCGAGCAATCGGCATATCCGCATCAAGTAGATCGTATGATAGATTGTACCCTGGTGATCTGGGGCAGATAGGTGCGCTTATTGCCTGTTAGGTTCTGTCATGGTAAAATGGATCACGAATTAGATGGTAGCGATCGCATTTGCTTGATCGCAAACCCTGGGCCCGGGTTGATGTCGATAGTACACATCTATTTGCCTGTAAGTGCCGCATCGTATGCACGTTCAAGTCTCAACGCGGTACAACCCAGTCCTTGATGCCAATGCCTACAAAGACTACGAGAATTTCCCCGTCAAGTCAATATGCTTCTCTACCGGAGGTCTTTACGATTCCACGCCCTACATGTCAAACTATTCAGAAGGATTTGACCACGACAAGGTAGCTCGAAGGCAATAAAACTACCACAACAGTAATTGAATATTGGTAAGTTGCAGGTGACGGTTATGGGTTGTACGTTGTGCCCGTCCAGGGGGGCACGGGAAAGGCTTTACGATCAGATTTGGCTAGGCCCTTCTTGCAATGCGATCTGCTTGCTTGTTCATTTTGTTCAACGCCGGCATGTCTTTTGGCCTGATGTACCTCCTCAGATCAGTAGACCTCATGAGAGAGTTGTTCAACCAAATCACTGACTTTGGCTATAAGGTCTCGATGAAAGCTGGTGTTAAGATCCTGATACTTGATCCGGCCGCATTTGCCAGTTGGTGATGGCCGTGTGTAACTGGGACGTTTTGAACGCTCTGAACACTCTGGGGACCCTGGTGTTGGGAAGTTTGGACGAACCTTGAGATGTATCAGAGATGATGTCACAATGTTACTCTCCGGACGCTGTCTGTATCTGTACATGACCGATGGCCATTCTGCGTTGGATGTTGAACTTGGGGAAGAGCTGCGGGTACAAGATGCGCCGCTCTGAGTTATTCTCCCTGTAATTCCCTGCCCCCATTGGGTTCAGCATCGCCGTGTTGTTGCGCACGAGGGCCGTTCAAATTGAAGCAGGTTCTCCCGTTGTCCACGAAATGGGCGGTCTTCTGTCTTCATCCTGGGCTATGTAGCTTGCATAAGATTCACATGTCGTCGGCGACGGTTCCGTCTCCACCAAGTCAACAGAAAATACGTGTCTGTGCAGTCCTCGGGCTCTTAGGGCTGTGTGGTCCGCGTGATCGTTTCCGCGGACTCTGTGCGGATTGGGAGTTTGTGAAGGTGGAATTGACGATCAAGTCCCACAACTACTGGGTACCATATAGCGGGTGCTACGTCCCGGGGCTGCCTTCTCCCAGCAGGAACGAAAGTGATTATCGGAATAAGTTGATGATGAGCTGTCTATATACGAATGCCTGCTCGTTAATTGGAAGTGAAGTGTAGTTCAAAGTCGAACACGGTCTCCCACAACGACGACAGGATCGATGGGAGTCGCGACTGGATGGATCGATGCGGTATGTCGTCTATACAAGGGACTTTGCTTCGACCGTGCATTGCTCTTACCTGACAAAGTTCAGTTGCCAGCTATTGGAGGCAAATTCGGAAGGGAAGCCGCGAAGTCTCGTACAAATATCCCAGATCGCGATGCGGCCGGTTTTGAAATGAATGTGCCGGCGTAGTGACGAAGGCGACTTCGTTTGGCGAAGTAGATCCAAGTTTGCATTTACCTCAGCGCCGGCCGCCACCCGACTTGATTCTGGCAAATATCCCAGTGGCTCCTCGTCCCAACTTTGAGGACATTTAGCCATATCAACTGGACAACCAGCTATATGGACCAGACAGAAGCCTTTTGAAGTCGGAAAACCGCGCATTACCATTCCATCACAGAGGGACTTGAAGTTCGACACGCAGTACCGTTCGATCCTCGCAGGATCCTTTCTTTGGGACGTTAATACCATCAAACAGCGAATGGTGGTGATGGTTATACCTTCTCAGCATTGGCAGCGTCAATCCAGATTAGATCTACCATCGACAAACTTGACCATGACGGTCATGAAGTGGTAGCACTCAAGTAAGCCTTTAAAGGTACAATAGTTACTTAGTCTTCCTTTTCCTCCAATGAACCACCCTCTCGCTCCCCTCCATCGAACCGTACCGTGAGCACCACAGTCTGGCTGCACCTTCTACACCCTGAGCGGCACCCCGCAACCCCCAACGGGCAAGTACGCCTTGGTCGACAAAATCAAGGCCAAAGCCAAACGACACAAAATGGAAGTTACGGAAAGCGCTAGTACCTACTTACCTTGCCATTGAATTTACAAGCCAATTTGTCGACTTCAAGGGTAAAGGAGTCCCAACTCCTCCAGGCATCGACGCCCAAGCGCATGGCGTTTTTATTACAAAGGTGTAGGTGCGCATTCCACTAGGACCTGATCGACAAAAAGCCGTCAAGGATCAGCTAGGTGATGTAGACCTACCTCGTGGGTGGTGATGAAACACTGCATCATCTCCTTCGTCTCGACGGTCTGGTGCGTACCTCGTCGTACAACGAGGTAAGGACGGCATACCTGTAGAGCCTCTCCAACTCTCCATTCCCGCTCCCCGATGGTATAAAACTGCATCACTTGTAGATCCTCTATTCGAAAGCGCATGTTGAATCAATCAGACACTCGATTTTCAAGGGATGAGAATCTTTGAAATGGAATCTCTTCGCTCTACAGCAGGTTGGGGTTCCCGTCCTGGAAGGACATGGCGTACTTCATGGCAACGCCATCCTAGTCCTCGTAGTCTTTCTACCCGTCGTAAAGATGGGAATCTTGATGGTTGCCAAAGGGGTAAATACTTGCTGGGAATGTGTATGACTCCCTGTAGTTTTTTTTTGAGCTTAACTTGCCGCACCGTCCCTAATGTCCTCATGCACCCTTTTTGACTTCGCGCACCCAATTTCAGCTGTCATAATTACAAGCCGTTTTTGCGTATAGATTCTTGTATTTCTAATGTTCTAGAGGATTATGGTGCGCTAAGTTATGAGGGTATAAAAGTAATTGAATACAACTAACTGTAAGGTACGAGCGCTTTGGTATTAGTTATTTGACTAAGTGCAATCGATTTAGAGCGTGTAAATATAGTTGTATAGCGATGCAGTTGTGCAGAAATGTGGCCTTGGCTGTGCGGCGATATTGAAATCGTCAAGTTTCATTGACATACGATTGAATATTACATAACATTCTAAAAGTGGGTTTTACTATACAAAACGCAAGACTTTACATGTCAGCTGTCATCGGCTGGCATGTGGGGAAAATGGGGTGCGTGAAGTTAAAATAGGGAGAAACCTCCGCGCACACCCATAAACTCCCCATGCACACCCAAACCCAGATGACGGCTGTCATATAAAACAGGCTGTATTTGGTGTAAAAAACGGGTTTCTCAATGTTTCTGACATCTGACAAGGGTCTCCACATTGCTGTGACTGCTGTAAAGACCACTGTAAAGACTGCTGTACTCAACAAGCACTTCAAAATACCAGAATAAGAAGGATGAGGCTCCCAGAACGTGTATATTCCTGCAAAGTAAACAAAGGAGGATATCGCTACTCACTGTAGTTATAGGGGTAAGGCGCTGTACTGCAATTGAAGAGTGGTGCAAGAGTGTGTAATTGAAGGGTATAAAAGAGGGTATAAAGTATAGGGGGCGCTACCTATCAAATACGTACAATGCAGCGTGTCACTTGTTAATGTGGGGGAATGTTATAAATATTGAAAGCGTCAAATTTTATAGCTAAAATCGGGGTTTATAATGATAGATGACATCAGTTGTCACATCCCCACTTTTTGGGTTTGGGTGTGCATGAGGAGTTTTTGGGTGTGCGCGGAGGTTACCCCTAAAATAGGGTGCATGAGGACATCAGGGACGGTGCGGCAAGTTAAGCTCTCTTTTTTTTGTTGTATATCATCTTTGGATGACCGGGGGCACATTCCTTTGGTCGCATGGAAGCACGTATTCTGGAGCTTTCCATGTCGATGGATGGCCACGAGGACATTGAACGGCGGGTTGCTGAGCAGTTGATCTTCTCGCGACTGCTGCTTCATGTGCACTTCTCGTCATACGCTGCGTAGGTGTTGGCGTAGCTGAAGTGGGATTTTGGGCAACTGCTGCCGGGCCTCTGGCCTTGCAGTGTTTGATGTTTTCTGACTCCAAGGTCTTACGTCGTGATGGATAGAGGCAGAGACTTTGTCTAGAGGTATAATATATAGCATATATCGATAAGTGGGCAATGAGAAGCCTTTCGTGCCTCCAGATCGGAAGTTGTTAGACCTACTGGTTTGGGAAAGAAATGGGTGTTGAATGTGAAGTTAGAAAGAAGAGCGGTTTGGCCGCTTCCTTTTCAAATCGTTACCAACCCCTCGGAGGTTGATGGTTTATTTATTCGACACTCATCTTATCACCGCCACGCCTACTCTTGCTCTTGCAGGAAAATATGTGGTAGGGTATGGCATTGTCGACGAAGTTCCGCTTGTCTACGTAGCTGCTGTTAGTGCTGGGAGCTATAGAGAACACTGGAATAGAACGGACAGTATGGCGATGTGGAGGAAACTCATGATGATGTCACGATGATGACGGCGGTGAAGACCAGCATGCAGATGGCTTTTTCCTTCGAAATGATCAATGATGTGACTTTGTCAAGTGAAAATACAGCCTGTATATGCGGACATGAAATATGTTATCACGGTTTGGCTGCATGCCTTCGGCCATGTGTAAATAATCGATGTCTTCAGTTAAGTGAGCACGGGAATTGTGGAAGTTGTGGTATTGACTTGCGTGATCGTGCGGTAGAAACGACAAAGGGCTTGGGATGGAAGAGGATAGAACAGAAACGATTACAAATGAATCTTGATAAGTGTCAATCTATCGGGTATTCTCTTACTTCTTAGGCCGTGTTCGTTCTGGCAGTAGTGCAGTAAAGGCATCTCTTCTAACCCTAACCCAAAGCTTTTCTGCCACCAAAAAGATGCTTCCGTTACTGTACTACTGCTGGAACGAACGCGCCCTTATATACCTGTCCATGACCCCTTCGATGCCACATGACTCCTTTTCCCCTGAAAACCTGGTCCTTATACATCCTCTTTTGTCATCATGCAGTGTGACAAGCTTCGTCACCTCCAAGAACTGGCTGGGGAGTGTTACCATCATTCATGTCCAGCACTGGATGTATTGACCCCTTTCTTCTGTGTTGTCTCCAAGCCTTCAACAGTCATTCAACCATAACATCACTCCCTCTCATTCGATCAGTAGCAATCACTTCAAATCCTCCATAGCCACATCCCCATCTCTGTCCCTCTTCCCAATCAGCCCCTGGTTATGTTTCCTTGCCCATTCATCGTTGACAGGCCAGCGGGCAGTATCTTGGACAACTGTTGGACAAACACAATGTTAACATCCATCATCAAAACACAGCAACAAAATCAAAGGGCAATTAACCAGAATGACGACTAACCTTCCATAGCAAACCTCGCAAATATCTCTTCCTCTCCCTCTACCTCAACACCACACTCCACAAAGTGCTCCACCGCTCTGTTTCTCTTGAACGGATGCCTGTCAAAGTTTGGAGTATCGCCCAGACAGACTCCGAGCAGCTCAGGGGCAGGGCAAGTGAGGATAAAGAACTTGTTGCTGTTGTCGTTGTGCCTCCCCTCGTCAGCATCACGGCCAGTGTCGTCGCTGTCGTGGTCATCGTCGTCGTCGTTCTTCTTGCCAGATGTGGAGGTACCGAAACCAGCAGCAGCGAGAAGATGTTGTTTCGCCTTGAAAGCCCAGTATTTGCCCTTTTTGACTTGGGAGCGCTTGATTGTGGCACGCTGAGCGGCGGCGGCGGGCTTGGAGCTTGAGGACTTGGTGATTTTGTTTGTCCTGTTGTTGTTGTTGTTGACGGGGGCAGTGGCTGCGACGGCAGAGGAGGAAAAGGTGGATGGACCGGGTGAGGCGGTTTCGGCTTTGCCTTTTCCTTTGTCTTTCTTGGGAGACAAGGCTCTGGAGCCGGAGGCAGATGCGCTGGCTTTCGTTGCGGCGGTGGTGGTTGACGGGGAGGTAGCGGCGCGGGCGGCGGTGTTGTTCTCGACAACGTCCGCAGCCTTTCCTTTGCCCTTCTCTTTGGCTGCGAGTCGCTTGCGGGAACGATTGAATGGTTCGGGGGAAGAAGAGCGAGAACGAGCGCGTGTTGTAGGGTTGGTGCCGTCGGTAGCGGGGCTAGGATCGCGGTGTCCAGCTCTGGTTTGGGCACGAAGGGAGCGCGCGGTTTGAGCGGGAGCCGTAGTAGAGGTGGGCTCGGTGGGCTGTTGCGTGTTTGAGGTTGTGGCTGCCGGGGAAGCTGATGGCACGTTCGGACGTGTGCTGCTGGAGGAAGCGGTTGCCTTGACGGTGGGCTCCTCGTCGACTTCCCAATAGGCAATGTTTTTCGGATCCTTAGCGCGGAGTGCGGCGCGAGCGGCGGCAACTTTGGCGGCATAATCGGGAACAAGGGTGCTGGGATGGAGGTGATGAACCTCAAACCACGGATTGCCCCATGGGTTCTCTCTTGTTCGAGGAACCCGAAATGGGTCGGGCTCCGGCGAGGAGTTTCTTGGGAGAAAATCGGCATTCTCAGCGCTGTCGAGCTGGATTCTGTCCTTGAAGTTCGCGTCGTACCATGGGTGAGTTCTCATCGGGGTTACTCTGATCGACCACCCATCCAACGAGTTGCTTGCGTCGTGGTCCACCATCAACGGGATCTGCCAGAATTGCTGTTTGTCGAGCAGCACCATTGATTTCATGGGCGAGTTGAGAAGGGTTGTGAAGTCGTCCTGCAGGTCTTTGTAGCGCTTCTTGTACGCTTGTAGGGTTTTGAGCGTCTCTTCCCACTTCTTGCCGTACGTGATCAATTCTTCTGTAAAGGTGACAAACACCTTCATGGCTTGCTGGTGGACTTCCTCGAGTTTGTGCTTTGTTTTGCGCCAAGCTTCGTCCTCCTCGTCATTGATCTTGACGAATTCCGGAGTGAAGGGTTTGTGGGGAACGTAACCCTGTTCATTGGGCTGGTCCTTGGACGTCGTTGCGTTCTCCTTGCCGCTCATGGTGTAAACTTCTGGGACTTGGAATGCGTGGAAGGTTGTCGCCGGGTGCAGATGCTTCTCGACTCTGAGGAAATATCGAGCAGTGAGATAGGAAGCGGATGTGGCTTGATTGGTGTACAAGGGAGTCGCTGTTGACAAGTAGACGGCAAATACGTTGACAGCACTTCTTTGTGTGTTGGTGCAAGGAGAAAATTTTTTGTGTTCGGACGTTCGGTGAAGACGATGAACCGATAAGAATTTAAGGGAAGAAATGCCAAGAGTCAGATGATATGAAGCTATTGATTGTGCTTTTGTCGACGCCCATTACGTGTTTTCTTACGTCTATTGAATACTTCCACGTGCCTGAATTGGGATTGCTATTGTGCTTCAATATTTCCATTCAATCCAACCCCAATCATTCAAACCATAGCCGGCATCAAAGTAATAATTTCCTGGATCGCTGGATGGAGTTTTTCTGCAACTTCAAATTTCCCACAATATCAGATGAATGACCTGGAAGCCCACCCAACAAATCTTTTGTGGATTTTACAAACGTGCCGACATACCTAGGTACAATAAGAGGACACTCAATGTCGTAAGCAAGATGATGAAGGAGGAAAGATCGAGTGAATGGGAATCATGTAACCTATTGAGCGTAAGAGGACTTGTGAAACAAAACGGATATTTTTACCTATGTTTGTGCGTACGTCTTGAGTTTGTAGTTCAGTTGTACAGTACCTCTACTGTAGGTAGTACCTCAAATCACGACCTTGACTACCCGACAGCCCTCTAGTTGTTGGTTCAAGTTGTATCGACTGGAACACATTACCCCTCAACTGAACTCTCGTCTTGCCGTCTATCGTCCCATGTTCCAGCCCCTCCGATATCCAGACTACCTGAGCCTTGCTCCTTCCTCGTCGAATCCTTCGACAACGAACCTGTCTGCGACCCACTAAAGTGTCCAACTGGAATCCCTAACCAAATTTTCCGGACGACCAAGATTGCTGCCTGTTCATCCCAGGCGTCCCTTGTTCTAACTTCTGCCCTTTTGTTCCTTCTCCTTCGGCCGGCACCAACCTTTTGCGTTCTTCCCTGGCTCTTGAACCTGCCAGCATCGCTACTTGTCTTCAACCAACGTGGCTAGAATGCTAATCCAGACTTTCGCTAAATCTACAGCCGAGCTGTAACAGCGTCTTCCTTCCACTCTCAAGCTTATCCCTTTGTTGCTGTTGCTCGTTGTTATCCCAGTCATAAAGCAAGCCAAACGGTGGAGGACAACACGCAGTAGGTATGCCCAAGAAAGCACCTATCAGGTGGAAATGCCGCCCTATGAAACAAACAGCAATATGAACAACCTTGAAGTCTCTGAAATGTTCGTACTGACCAAATGCTTTCACTTCTAGAGGTGGGGAGCATGTCTGCATCGGCATCGACTTTGGAAGCACCGGTGTTCGGGCCTTCGCATGGTCGGTAGGAAAGACCGGTAAATATTTTCCTAACCTGCATCACCTTCGTGTCGGCCTGGATGGCATGAGCTATCCTGCTCATGGCTATATCTACGATGACAACGAGCCCATATATATTCCTCGGAATCTCGCTGTAGACCGTGAGCCGGAATCTCTCAAATACGGTTTCTACTTGCTTTCTGGCGACCCGCATAAGTTGATGGATCAGTACCCGCTGATGAAGAGACTGAGGGATACCTGCAACGATCAAATTCGAAACAAGCTGCGAACCGGCATTACTTAGGTGCTTCAGAACTTGAGAACCGCGATCGAAAGCAATGAAGCGTTCATGGCCAACGGGTGGAGGATCGGTCGACTATGTGTCACCGTCCCGAATCAGTGGACGTTGGAATTTGAGGAGGTCTACACCAGACTTCTGGCTCAAGCGTTCGACTGGACCTTGGGCGAGGCCAGATCGAGGATACTGTACTACACAGAGACAGATGCTCTTGCCCACTTCTTGCTCTCTACGGATGATTATGTTCAAGTTGCCAAGCTCTTGCGTGGACAAGAGCAACAGAGGGTTGTACTCGTTCTGGATTTTGGTGGTCATAATTTGGTAAGATTCATTCACTGCCCTCGCATGAACATTACATTTCATTTGGACAGTAAAATGCTAATACCTCACCACAGAATGGTGCAATTTTCTGGGTACAGAGTACTCAGCACCAGGAACCCAAGTTTTTCAGACATGGGGAAGCATTTGGTTAGTACCACTTCGCAACAGCGGCAACAACTAAACGGTTCAAGCTCAGGTTCACCGTTCAACTAGATACTGATCGTACTATAGGAATAGGTGGTGGAGGAGAGCATCTCTACTTCAATGTGCTTCGGGCTTGCGAAGAGAAGTACAAGGCACAAACGGGCGCTGCTGTGGGGGATAGGCTATCTGCGGCTGCAAAAGAACAAATAAGGCAAAAATTCATCATGGAGTATCGTCACTCTTGGGGTCCAGGCGACCATCTTCCTGGCCCATATGCCTTCCATTTGTTCGACGACAACTTTCAACACGTGCCACTCGTTTTCAGCAAGAGTGAGATCGATGATCTTTGGGAGAGGGCGTACGAGGGGGTGATCGTTGTGGTCAGGAGGGAGCTACAAACCCTCAAAATACTGGCATCAAAAGAGCATGGCGGATCCATGCCTGTCCCTTTGGTCATTGGAGCAGGAGGCAGCATCGGCAATCAACCTCTGTATGATAGGCTACAGAGCCTCATCAACCAGTTTGATATCGAGGATACCGCGTTTGTCAACAAAGTTGGGCTGGATTACGAGTCAGTCATTTTCCCTCACGTGAGCTACTAGGTTTCTGTTGGTATGTGCTAACAACAAGGCCTTACACCATATACAGCACCGTTCGGCTTGCGAGGGGAGCACCTATGGCAACGGTAGACATGGTCACTGTTGAAGATTTCCTCAAGCAAGGTGTCGGTATCGGCATCCAGATGCGGCAACGCCACACTTACAAATGGGACAACAGCGCGACCACAATTTTTTACTTTGTGAGTCCCCCCCGGCCCCCTGCTTCTGCCATGTACACTCGTCCATGGCACAACCACTTTCCTAGAGGATGACAGGCTCCGTCCTAACACATTTCTTTTTTTTCTTCAACAGTGTACCAGGACGGGACATTACAGGGGAAATTTTGATTGCCAACTCCTCAACATTCGCGACGGCGATGAGTTTTGTCTTGTGTGTGATCCCTGGTACGCTGATAAAATTCCAAACCTCCAAAACGAGGACCCCAGCTCCCTTCCTCAGATCAGCGCCGAGCGTGGGTACGTTCTGCTTGAAGGTCAACCCTCTATTTTGCCCCCCAGTCGCGCTGAGGGTAGGTATTTTATCAAGGCGGATATCAGAGGAAATGGCAACAACATGCAGCTTGTCCTGGACATAGCGCTGGTTGCAATCCCCAACCGAGCCCGAAGTAGCCGCTATGAAAAGGTCGACATCCACCTCCCGCTTTACTATGAAGGTGGAAATAACTGTGTTTTTGTCGGAGAAAGGGGGAAAACCTTGCGCGAGGCCATCAGAGACTTTCAGGCTAGGCGCCGCCTGGATGCTCAGGACTTCCTCAACCACATAGCGTCATAAGAAAGCCACACGGCCATGGGTGGGAACCCCCCGAGCTTTTCCCGGCTTTTTTTCTTCACTTTCTTCTACCTCTTCTGTTCTTTTTCTTGGCTTCAAGCGAACCACCCAACCTTTTGTCAGACAGCTTCTTGGACGGCACCAGAAGGAGGATGACGTACAACTGGAAGTCCACTTGCAAATTTTCAGCTCTGCTATGGGAGTCATTTTAGCAGTGGAAGCACGGTTTTCAACATAGAGGAACGCGAGTTGGGTTATCAATGGCAAGGACATTGGGAATTTGGGACAAGTGTTCTCCAAGCTCAACATTCAATGGGAACCAGGGTCTCATCTGCTTCCCTTCATCAAGGTATGAAGCTGTCGAGTTTTGCGGAATCGGATCAGCAACATGTTGACATGAATGGACTGGAACAACTATAGCGGTTGGCCGAAAAACCGGGAAAGGCTGTTAAATCTCTCAAGCGACACTGATCCGATTGATGGGGGCGGTCACGCTGAAGAAGTGAAGGACACCGGTACTTCAGATGTATCGCAGTGGTGATAGACAATACAAACATAGCATTTCGGCCAAGAGAACTGTGCGCACACACATTGGGAGACAATCTTGAGCTTGATAAGTAGTTGGTTGTCCACGACAGGAGGACCAGACTCTGGAAATAGCAGATATTACCTTGCAGTCGTAAGAATAAACCAATCAGGGACAGTCCAATTTCGTTCTTTGTTGTCAGGAGGGGTCTTTGCAAGTCCGCGAAAAGAGTTACCATTATTCATCAATACAATGATCAGGGTATCATGAATCCTCCCACACAGGGGCTACCTAGAGGTTGGATTCAAAGGTATCTTAAAGACGCATAGGTGTGATGATGAGCAAAGAGGCACCCAAGGTCCGATATTCTGAAGGTGACATGTGCGTTCCATCCTTGTGACCATTCGACTAGGTACTCACCAATCAGCGAGACCAAACCCTTTCTTCATCTTTCCCCTCCCATGGTCTCAATACCTACCTGTCACCGCAGCACCCCC